CTGCTTTGCTGCCATACCTTCAACAGCAGGGCATCTATTGCTCTTTCTTTGGCTGTGCTCCTCCTGGTAGCTGCAGTCCTGGTGGACATGAGAGAGCCCTGAGCTCTACACCTTCCCACTGCTCCCCTGCACGTGGACAGCAGGGCAGCGACGTGCCAACGCATCTCATGGAAACTGCAGATGCTGCTTTTCTGCTCCTGTTGCTTTCGGTGCCGCTGTTGGATGTGGAACAGCAGCAGGGAACGGTCCAAGGTTCTTCCCAAATAATGAAAGCATTGCTTTTATTGCATTTATTTACCAGCCCTGCGCACGCAGCTCACCAGGCAGTCACTTCAATGAAGCCCCCCTGCCCCACCAGGAGCCCCACACACAGCATCCAATGGGGCAGCCCTCGGCCCCACACCGTTGGGCTCACACCCGTCACGAGTTCTGCTCGGTCTCAGCCCGTTTCCCCACCCTCGTCGCTGGGGGGAGCCCATTTCAGCTCCCTCACGTCCACGCCGAATGAGCTGAGCAGCACGCAGGTGAAATTGGTCCTCAGATCCTGGAAGCTGAAAGAGTTGAAATGCAGATCCCGACGGAGGATCACCAGCGAACCACGCTCTTCCTCTCTGCGGGACGAAGGCTTCCGTCAGCCCCGCGTCCCTCCCCTCGTTCGGGGTGGTGATGGAGGAGGGGGGGAGGGGGAGGGTGGGCTTGCGTTGGGGTTGAGCTGCTCACCGCACCGCCCCTTCGCGCACGTTGGGCTGCAGCTGCTCCACGAACGAGCCGTTTGCCAACCAGTAGAGCAGCGTCAGCTCCGGGTGAGCGCTCTCAGCCTCGCAGGAGACGCTCACGTTGCTGCCTGAATGGGGTTGAAGGGGAGATGGGCTCACACCTTGGGGGGGGGGGGGAAGGAAGGCGGGGGACAGCCGCAAAACGTCCCCACTTCACCCATCGCACCCCCACGGGGATCCCCGCATCCCGTCCGCTCCCCTCCGGCTCTCAACCGTAGCGGGGTGCTGCTGATATCATTCCCTTTTCTCCCCCCCCCATCTCCAAGGGGTGGAGGGGGGCTCAGATCAGCCCCTCCGCAGTCACTCACCCATCTGGGGGGGCTGCGCCGGGATCCTCAGCCGGGTGATGCGGGGGGGCTGCGGAGCCATGGCTGCTGTGGGACGGGGTGGGGTGAGGGGTTGGGGGGGGGGGGGGGGG